ATTCTGGGAGTTGAAGTCCACTGATCTTAAAGTGGCCAAGTTTGGACAACACTGGTTTAACTTGATCCCTGAATTTACCCATTTGTCTGTTTGTTGATTATGCAATGTCTATTGCCTCCAACTCAACAGACTCTAGATTCACAAGGCATCCTGAATGTCAATTAACAACCAAGGCTGGCTCATGCATCAGGCTAGCCCATTAAAAAATTAACAATGGTTAATGCTAATCAAACTTAGTGTGCCGTGTAACTACAACTGCTCTGTCTTCATCTGACCTGATTAAGTATGTTATGAGACACCGCCCCCCCCACATTCTGCACCTTCACTTTTGTACTATGATGACATTATCATAAAGGTTCATAATTATGTGGAAACCCAGCCACTGTAAATAACAGCGAAGAAGAGAAACATCTCACCATGGTTACCTTTTGTTGTGTTTCATTAAATACTTCCACTGAACTGGAGATGAATGAACAAGAATGCAAGTATTATATCTGAGTCTATATTAATATGAAAATAATATTTACGATCATTGGAGACAAATACGGTCCTTGTAAATGAGTAAACCATAATCTCTCTCTGATTTATTGCAGAAGATTAAAATCTGAGTCAAGCTTAGAGGAAGATTTGATGTAATAAATGAGACTTTATTTATGACTAAATCTTATTTGTTCCAGCAATTGGCTCTACCTAGCCAACTATGGCTGCTCTTAGAAACTAAGCAGAGTCATCCCTGGCTACTAATTGGATGGGCAATCACTAGGAAATACCAGGGCTGTAGTCTAGAACTTCCATAAAACTGTTAAGGAAAATGCATGGGTACAGCTACCAAGAGTCAAGCTGTAGTCAAGTGTGTTTTTACCTTTTACATGTTATTTATATCAATAAGTCTACTCTAAGCATGGATCCTACCTATTGTCAAACACTCTCCAATGTGGGAGGAAAAAACTCTATGACTAAATTCTGGTCTGTCTGACACGGGGTTCAGACCCCAACCTAAACCATAATATGCCTTCTTTGGTTTAGCACAATAAGTGATCTCAGTCACGGTGGTTTGTAAGTCATGGTTTAAAGCTTAAGGTGTTCTGTAATCTATGCAGCTAAACCACAGCGTAGCCCAATGCTGAAATCCTACATTGCAATCCTACAAGCTCAGGAGGGTTAACAGATGCAAGATGAGCAAACTGACATATGAACAAGTTGGCATATGCTTTTCAAAGGAAAGCTTTTTAAAGATTAGAATGTTAGTCCTCAGGAAATTGCAACCATGTGCTTTTCCAAAGACTGGTGCCAGCAGGCCATGGTTCCTTGATACTTACTTCCTCCAAATGTTCCTCGCCAGAGGCCTACATTAAAAAGACCTATCCGTTAGCTGTACATCTCAAAGATGCAACCGAGATCATTACCCAGCCATGAATCCTCTTGTCTTCTTGGAAATGTTACCTTGATCTAATGGACCAAAGTTTTAGCAATGCAGTTAAACATTAGCCAGAGAGGGAGTGGAAAGCAGAAATTTGGTCCACTTTTACTGGCCTCTGAAAGAGTTATCCAAAGAAGAGCAGTGCCACATGAGAAACAACAAACAGATCCAAAGATGAGATAGGGTGAAGAAATAAGTGGTGAGATGGGAGACAGACGTCCTTTGAGAAGCACAGAACAAAATCTCCCCTCCCAGAAACTGGTCTTCAGAGTGACCTCTGAACATGGAAACTGACCGTGGAAATAGCATGTTCCTAACATTGCAAAAGATAGCATAGAGGGTCTGCAAGATGATCTATATTTGTATGAGCATCTGGAATTAACTGATCCAAAGACACTATTAATTACAACTTGATCTGAGTTTAAGTGGAGACAGGCAAAACTCACTTTCCTGTCTTTTACTCTTGCAAGAACTCTTAGCGGCTTCTAACTAAGAAGCAGCTTACTCTTAGAAGCAGTTAACAAGCAGCTTAATCTGCTTCAGACACAGACAAGCAATGCTAACACTCAGCTGTCCTGAAAAGTGAGCAATCATAAATATATTTAGCTCAACTTTTCCAACAGATAATCAGAATGCCAAGAAATGGGCAGGAAAGCTAAAATATGCTCCACATCTGTGCCTGTCTTCTGCAACCTGGTTTCCTTCAGACGCAATGGGTTACAATTCCCAACATACTTGAAGGTCCTAGGCTGGCCAAACGTGATCTATAAAAATGTAACTTACTTAAACAGGAATATCTAAAGGAGATATGTCTTCAGGTTCAAAAGCACCACAAGAGTCACAGAAGTGCAGCCGAAGTCTGATGAGATCACAATTCTGTATCCATCAGACATTGTTCCTGCCCCTACATGATGCTAATATATGTGATATATTTTATTTCATATACAAATAAAAGAGCCATGCTTTTGGTGGGATTACTTGGGGCAGTTTCAGGAATGCAATGTTCCAGAGAACTGTTTTCTCATCTGGACCACCACATCTAACCACCTCAGGACCACGCCGTTCCTGGAAGCAGTTCAGTGGTTTCTGGAAATAAACCCGCTGAACAAAAATTGTTCAAGGTGCCCCAGACATAGTGTTGTAGATGAAATGGCCCATCTCTGGAACACTTCAGTATGCTTCTAGTTCAGAAGATTTACTTCTGGGAATTGCTGAACTGTTCCTGAGAACAGTGTGGTTCAGAGAAGATTTAGCATGGTCTACAGGAAAAACAGAAAGTTCTAGAGTTCTCTAGAACAATCCACTCCCAAATTAGTAAATTTTGTACATCCTTAGTCCTTATATATAATATCTGCTTCCTCCTATCTCTCTGGATGATTCCCAGACTTGTCAAACATTAATGGATGGGCAAAACAAACAGAATTCTTTTTCAGTTGCCTCTCTCTGGCTATTTAATTTCTTAAAACTATGATCTCACTGAAAATTTTTCAAAGCATTTTTTATAGGACAGAAAGGCTTCAATTTGGAAGGCTGTCCTCCTATACATAGAAGTGAGTCTTCCTGAATTTCCAAGTAGACATATATACTTTCTACTTACAAGCAGACATATACACTGCATATTTTTAAAATGGGACTTTGTAACTTACATCACCAACCTATCCGAATATAATACAGATAGTCCTTTTTTTAGCAAATGCCTCATTTAGTGATCATTCGCAGTTACAACGGTGATGGAAAAGTAACTTTGCAACCAATCCTCACATTTATGACCTTCACAGGTCTGCAAAGAATGGAAAGCTGAAGGAAGATCATAAGCAGTCACGGTTTCACTTAGCAACCGCTTTGCTTATCAACCGAGTTGCTGATCTCAATTGTAGTTGTTAAACGAGGACTACCTGTACTACGCATCCCTAAGGGAAATACTTAAACATGGCTCATTATTTAGAAATGCAACTTGCACTGGTAAAATACATTCTCAGTGGGATTCCACTTAAAGATGGTCCAACACTAGTTGGAGCAAAAATTATTGCTTTTTGCATTGCTACTTGTTTCAGAACTTCTGGAAAGCCTTCAGACCATCCAGACTGGTGTGGCCCAGAAGAAAAACCACATCTCCATGTTCTCTGGAACAATTAGTTCCTGGAACAGTATGTTTTCTACAAACCTATTAAATACTATTGATTCAAAGACACACTTTAGTTTCCAAATATTTTGCTATAATAAAATCTAGAATTTTGTAGGTTTACTCAATAGCCCTTGTTTTCCAGTTGTACAAGTCAGAGCATGAAGTCAAAGAAAGCTTGAAGACAATTATCTTCATCTGTTTTCTCCAGCCAGGAGACCTCTAGAGGCATTGGGATACAACTTCCATTATCCCACCTAGACCACCTTCTTCCCCACCTCTGGAGGACCTTTGAGCTGGGGAAAGAGGATCAGTTTAAAATAATAATTTCATTCTAAATGAACGCCCCATTAGCCGGAAGTCAGTGATGCCTCTTTTTCCATGTTGAAGATTAAACATGTTTTAACTTCCAGACTTAACTCCTTGCCTTACTTGTTCAGTTCATGGTTTCAATCTGATTGAGATCCTTCTCAAACAATCATGGAGAATCATAATGGGATACTGTGACAAACACAATTAGAACAACAAGCAAGGAGGGTTTCCTCTTACCTTAGCTAATCGACTCATCTGGTCTTCTGAAAATGTACTGCTTGTTTTCCCAGGAGTCTTAGTAGGCTCAGAACCATCTGCTTCCACATTGGGCCATACTTTCAGATCATGCATCCCTTGCCGGAACATCCTATGAAAGGAGTGCAAATTTAGAGAAGCAGTCATCCTAGCATGACCAAAATGAAGTCAGTCCTCCAACTTGGCAGGAACACAGCACAGGATCTCAAGCAGATGGACTACTGAGGCCCACAATTGCAACTCATATACAGTACAGAAGAAGACAATCTGGTGACAAAGGCATCAGACAATTCCTGTAGTTCCTTCATAGCATCTTCTAGCCCCAGAGCAGGACTTATTTCCAGCTCATGAAATCCATGGACTTCTGCATGCTGTCCTGTGTGCAGGGCAATCAAATGGCTGGCCTTGTGGTCAAACACAGCAAGGCCATTCTCATTTGCTGTGCTGCTCCCCAAATGCTATGTTTCTGTGTTTAGATCTCCAAAGGATGGTAGGAAGAGAAGAAAAACAACTCACCCGTATTTCCCAAAAAGAGAGACTGTTGTTCCACCAACAGGCACTGCTTTGCCAGGTCCATAGACATCCCATATTGTCAAGGCCACCTGAGCATTCCGGGGCAAATCGGGGTATTTAACCGGTAGTTTTAACCATTCATTCCAGCTGAAAGGAGAAGTTTAGTTTTAGTTCAGATTTACACAGTTCTAGCCATCCACAGACCAGAGTCCAAAAATCTCTCAATTACTGAGTGCCAAGCACTGTTAACATGATCCATCTACTTGTTTTCTTTACTGCCACAGTAATGAATAACCACCTGGTGGCAACTTCTGGATGTGCTCTGAAGGGCACATCTAAGACTTCAGGATGCAGTCCTGAGACTTCACTAGGTAACAGATAAATGAATAACAGCAAACAAAGCAAATCCTCACAGGTGAGTTAAAAAAAACGCAGTCCCCATCTTGTATCTTCCAGTTTTCCCTGGATGTCAAACTTGTTTTCTCTTGTTTCTTTTAGTCTTTCACAACTTTGATTTCTTCAGATCAGACTTCCTCAAGCTGGGCAACCTCCAGATGTGAAAATTTCAACTCCCAGAATGCCTCAACCACTAGAAGATTTCTGGAGCTTGAAGTCCACATCTTTGGGTGATGCTAAACTTGGAGAAGGGTGCTCCAGTTGTTTTGGTCTACAACAACCATCATCCTTCACCATTAGTCAACCTGACCACTGCTGATGGGAATAGGGTAGGCTCCTTCTCCAAGAAGCTCAAAGATACCTTCTCCCCATAGAAATTCACAGACATACAAGCCACAACTGGGGAAGAGTTGCAGCAACTGGTTGGCTATGATAGGAAGTGGACTAGTTGAAATTGGGATCCAACTAGGCAAGAGTTCTTACATCCTATGGCTCAGCAATCAAGGGAGATAAAGAAAGGGAGGTTCCTGAGGACCTCCAAATGACACTTTCTCCCTCTCGCAATCAACCTTCCAAGTAGTCTGCTGTGTAGTAAGCTAAACCCAGAGCAAGGATAGAAAGCAGCACATGAAAAGTTAGACCCAGCCTTAGGAAACACTCCTAAATCCATCACAAATACACAGCCATGACTTTAGAACAACCTTTCCCCCAACTGGCCTGTTCCCTGAGGTTCAATGCTGAAGTCCCAGAATTCCTCAACCACAATTCTGGGAATTGAAGTTCACATATGTAACAGGTGGCCAGTTGTGGGCAAGGCTGCTTGGGAGTAATCACCATTGGTCAAGATATATATTTTTCTTGGCTATACTGTACCCTTTGGAATTTCTCAAGTCATTCCTCCCCGCTTGAAAATGTATATTGAAGGAAAAATCAACATCCAATTCTACACGCTGATATCTGCACTGGGGAATAAAACCATCATTGTAATAAAGTAAATAAATATTTAAATTTGTCTTCTTTTCTTAGAGTAACAACAAAAAGGATTTTTTAAGCAGTCAGGTCAAATTTCCTGCAACTTTTTTGTCTATGATACAAATTTCCTGATTTTTTCCCCCGTTTTAATATTCAATCCAGTCTGGGCTGTTTACAAAGTTAATTTAGACAATATGGTTTATGAATATTGGTATGCTTTATCAATATTTGTATGTTAAGGAAACGCATATGTGTACAACTCAAGTGTGTATGTGTATACGCATACAGGTCTATGCTATTATTTCATCTCAGAAGCTAAGCAACCGTGCATTTGGCCATCAGATCTGAGAGCTATAAACTATTCAGGGAAGTAAAAAATATTCTGTAAGAAGCCAATGGAAAACCATCTCCATTACAATTCCAAGAAAACAACGTGAATGCATCCAGGTTGCACTCAAGTTGAAGGAGATGTCGCCTTTTACCTATTACTATTATAATGTTTATGGATTCAATTACAGCAGCAATGGTTAGAAAGACCTGAAACACCAGCTTGTAGACAGACCCTCCTGGAGAAGGTCCATCTCTGTGGTTGCTAAGAGCTGACACCAACTTGATGGCACATGATCATTTTTAAAACATTCATAAAGCACATGCAAAACCCCACAGACACAACCAACCATATACAGATATCGCCACACAGAACCTTCCCCTTCCTGGGATCAGAAAGTTTGTGGCAAGGAAGTCCCAGGACACAAAGTGCTTGAAGAGTAGAAGGAGAGGCCCAGATGAGAGCTTTAGGACCTGCACGACTGACTCCCAACCCAGAGGACTTACTTCCACCTGGTGCTGAAAGCTTTGTAAGACGTCCGGACAGGAAGAGCGAGAGGCTTTCCTTCTGCAAAGACCTGGCAGGTGACATACAGGTCAGAACAAGTCTCTTGGTACAACCCCGAGAATCTGAGCATGGGATTTTCCAAAACTGCTTTGTAGCTCTTCTGTTCTCTTTTCCCCTCCAAGCTGCCTCTAAGTGGATGAAAAACAAGCTTTGAACAAGATATTCCCAGAGCAAAATAAAGATATCTTCTGAAGGCGAAACTTGCAAAATCAGTGGTTTTGAATGGCATTGGATGAGCGGGTTTGTACAAGACAAGCAGGACTGAACAGTCTGTTAAAAAAACCAAGCACACAACGAAACCCTCCAGGAAGAGAGCTAGCCTCCCGGGGAGCAGGGCTGCATCACGGATGTAGTATCTGCTATCAGAACAGAATTTTGGAAGAACTGACAGCAAATTCTGGAGTCCTAAACTTTCTGATAATCAGGTCAAATCTGATAATCGTGCTAACTCAATACTGCCGGTTTGCGCGTGTGTGCTTTTCAGCAGCTTTGCTGGGCCACCGCAGCAGGGCGCAGGGACTGAGAAAAGGAGTTTAAATCTCTCCCTGATCTGTGACGTTCCAGAGCAAAGGACAATACATCCCTCCATCATACACCTCTGCTGTAGAAGTGCAGAAATTAAACACAAATAATAATAACAGCAACAGCAACATGGCTTGTTTCAGTGAAGTGGGGCTGATGGGGCTGAGACTGATGGGGCTCCTCTACCAAGCGAGGAGGACCCCAGTCACCCTTTCTAGAGCATCGCATGTCTTTCCCAATAGTGCAAGGGGGGTGCGTGGGACGCTTCAGGTTGCTTCATTTCATTCCGGCCACCGACCGGCAGTTGAAAGGCTGCAATGGAGGTGAGTATGTGTGGCTCAGGGTTGAACTGGGGAGTCCTTGGGGTTCTCTGAGCTTGGTTCTTTTCTTGCAAACGTTTCATAGCCCGGCTAGGTAGAGAGCAAACCCCATCCCATTCCAGCACTGAAGATGTTACCTAGCCGGGTAATGGCACGTTTGCAAGAAAAGAACCAAGCTCAGAGAACCCCAAG